GGGAGGCTGAGGTGAGTAGATCGCCTGAGCCCGCGGGTTCGAGACCCGCCTGGGCAACTTGGTGAGACCTCATCTCTACAATAAATCAAAAAATTAGCCTGGCATGGTACCGTGTGCCTGTAGTTCCAACTACTTGGAAGGCTGAGGCAGAAGGATAGCCGGAGCCCAGCAGGTCAAGGCTGCAGTGGTTGGGAGGGTACCACTGCACTCCAGTCTGGGTGACAGAGTGAGACTCCCAACTCAAAAAAAAAAAAAAAAAAAGTAATGGATTGTGTGTTTTGGTATAGAAGAATGAGAAAAGGGAAAGAAATATGGTATTTTTGGTTTTGTGGTTCTCTCAGTAGCTAAGCATCCTTCATTATTTATAGTGCAATTTCTAAACTGACCCATCCCTCAAAAAGGCCCAAGAATTTAACAGTAAAGGGAAGGAAAGCTGAGTTAGAAGCTTTCCTGAGTTAGAAGCATAACTGTGCCATAGTCCTATTTTCTGCTTCTCTTCAAATCACTTTTCACTTTAATATTTTTTACAATTTTAGCTTTGTTTTATATTTAAGTCTAGAGTATAATCTAGTTATATAATACAGCCAGTAAAATAAAATAACTTTAGATATCCATTATTAGATTTTACCTATGGGTAAAATTATGCTTTACAGATCACTTGTAGTAGTGAAAGAGATTTTGGTGAATCTGTTTTTCCTGTAGTATGTGGTTTACGCTTCTGTATTCTTGATAATTGCAGTCATCTTACTATTCATACTCAAAGGAAGAAGAAGTAAACTAAGTTAAACCAAAAAAACAAAAACCACAAAAGCCACAGATACTAAATAACAAAGCTGTTTCCACATCCCTAGGGGTAGTGCATAGAAAGAATGCCTTGTTGAACCCACACAATGGAATCTTTCCATGTCTGGTTTTTTAGTATAGTCCATGAGAGCACTCCGTATGGTTTATGAGGGATAGTCACTTGTAGAACACCGGTCCTTTGTTTGATACAAATTTTTATCCTTTTTGAGTTCTCATTTGTCACTGTTAACATATCATTTTTTATATCTTGACAGAGTTGCTATTTTGTTTGTTGTAAGCAGAAAAGGATAGGCATCTTTAGCTTTGCAAAAGCAATCTATTTCTTTGAAAACTACTATTAAACAATTGCTAACCTAGAACAGTAAATGTTTCCCGTGATCCTTCTCCCTGTTCCTATAACTTTTTGTTTGTTTGTTTGCATGAGAATTTGATAAAGATCTTTTTAACAACAACAAAAAAAGAAAAATCTTTTTACTCTCTTCCTGAGAAATGCTCACATGAACTTAAACTGAAATTTCAGGAAGAGTCGTGGACCTGAAGTTAAGTATTTCTACCCAGTAACAAAAACGATGAGTTGTGTACTTGAAAAGAGCTCAGGGCTGGGCTCAGTGGCTCAGCACCTGTAATCCCAGTACTTTGGAGGCTGAGGTAAGTGGATTGCCTGAGCCTGCAGGTTGGAGACCAGCCCAGGCAACTTGGCAAGACCTGGTCTCTACAATAAAAATCAAAAAATTAGCCAGGCATAGTAGCACGCGCCTGTAGCTCCACCTACTTGGAAGGCTGAGGCAGAAGGATCGCTGGAGCCCAGCAGGTGGACGCTGGGGTGACCATGAGTGTGTCACTGCACCCCAGCCTGGGCAATGGAGAGACTTGCATTCAAAAAAAAAAAAGAACTCAGTTCTTTGGGAGAGTTTTAGTCTTCCCATCAAGAATTGCCTGGTCTTATGTTCTGTGTCTACTCATATTCCAGACAATTGCCAAATTTTTACCATACTAAGTAAAATAGTAAGGAGGAAAATGTAGAAATGAAATTGTTTATGTATCTTGTCTTTTTTTTTTGACTGGGAGTCTCACTCTGTCGCCCAGGCTGGAGTTTAGTGGCATGCTGCTTACAGCCATTGCAACCTCCACATTCTGGACTCAGGGGATCCTTCTACCTCAGCCTTCCAAGTAGCTGGAACTATAGGCATGCGCTACCATGCCCGGCTAATTTTTTTTTTTTTTTAATTTATTGTAGAAACGAGGTCTCACCAGGTTGCCCAGACTGGTCTTGAACTCACGGGCTCAGGCAATCCACTCACCTCGGCCTCCCAAAGTGCTGGGATTACAGACTGAGACACCGAGCCCGGCCAAGGAACTCTTTAAAGAATGAATTGTTTGGCTGGGCACAGTAGCCCAAGCCTGTAATCCCGGCACTTTGGAAGGCTGAGGCGAGAGGATTGCTTGACAAGGGGTTTGAGACCAGCCTGGCCAACTTGGTGAGACCTCGTCTCTACAATAAATCAAGAAAAAATTAGCCAGGCGTGGTGGTACACGCCTATAGTTCCAGCTACTTGGAAGGCTGAGGCAGAAAGATCATTTGAACCCAGCAGGTCGAGACGGCAGTGGCCGTGAGCATGCCACTGCACTTCAGCCTGGGCAACAGAGTGAGACTCTTATTTTTCAAAAGAAAAAAAAGAAAGTGGCAGAGCTAGGACTTGTACTCAGGTCTCTCTGACACAAAAGTTTGTGCTACTATTTATAATGTCTCCATTTTGATTTTTAGTGTCATAAGTAACCATAGCAGTTAACATATCTTAGGTCAGACATTGGGCCCCACTCAGAATAGAAAGAGTGTATTGACCCATTGAACTCAAAGGAAGGGATTGGGTCTTTAGTCAGCTTGAGTAATCTTTTTCCTCCTCCCTTACAGAAAAACTTGGTCAGAGCAAGAGTAGGAGTGTGTTCTGGAACTTAGAGAACCAATTTGCCTTTAGGCTGTAGCAAGGTTTTTCTACTCACTGTTATCCTTATCTTGGTGTTCTTGGGGTTTTCTCAAAATCCTGTACAAATGAGAAATGTATTTGTTGTTTACATTTTAATTTCTAAAATGGAGAAGAGGTAAGGATACTGAGTGTAAGTACTTTAGAGGAGGATAAGGTTACCATGACAGTACAGTATAGAATCTGTTTTAGAACAACCTAAAACAAAGTAGAATTGGCTGACTGATAGTGAATTTCTTTTCTTTTTTTTTTTTTGAGTTGGAGTCTCACTCTGTCACCCAGGCTGGAGTGCAGTGGCACACTCCCAACCACCACAGCCTCGACCTACTACCATGCCCAGCTAATTTTTTTTTTTTTTTTTGGTTTACTGTAGAGATGAGGTCTCACCATGTTGCCCAGGCTAGTCTCGAACTTGTGGGCTCAGCCAATCCTCTCGCCTCGGCCTCCCAAAGTGCTGGAATTATAGGCTTGAGCCACCATACCCGGCCGACCGTGAATTTCTTTGGTGTAACAGTTCAGGTGTAATAATTGTGAAATAACTGCTATTAGAATCGTTAGAGATATTTCAAGCATCATAGCTAAACAAGTTATAATGGCTGGGTCCTGACGAATGATGCTGAATTATTCATTAAAACTTTAGGCACAATTTAGGACAACCAAGATGGTAAAGGTAAAAAAGATAAATAATTGAACATTGTGATTGATATTGGCAGCCTTGTATGTAACGTATGACCAAGGGTATGAGAAGACAGATTTTTTTTGAGTTGGAGTCTCACTCTGTCACCCAGGCTAGAGCGTAGTGGGACGCTTACAACCACCACAGCCTCAACTTGCTGGCCTCAGGCAATCCTTCTGCCTCAGCCTTCCAAGTAGCTGGAACTTTAGGCACATGCTACCACACCCAACTAATTTTTTGATTTATCATAGAGACAAGGTCTCGCCAAGTTGCCCAGGTTGGTCTCAAACCCCTTGGGCTCAGATAACCCTCTCACCTCGGCCTCCCAAAGTGCTGGGATTACAGGCATGAGCCACAGCGCCTGGCCAAGACAGATTTATTTGTAAAATGAAATAGGTCCTAAGAAATTGATAGCAAAATAGGATCCTAACCCAAAAAGGGGTATAATGAGAATCTCCAGTACCCAGCTGTGTTCTTCACTTAGCAGAATGTAGTTTCTCCTCATCTCACTAATTATTTTTCCCCTTTTCCCCCCCTACAGACATTCCATACACCAAGCTTGGGTGATGAGGAATTTGAAATCCCACCGATCTCCTTGGATTCTGATCCCTCACTGGCTGTCTCAGATGTGGTTGGCCACTTTGATGACCTGGCAGACCCCTCCTCCTCACAGGATGGCAGTTTTTCAGCCCAGTATGGCGTCCAGACATTGGACATGCCTGTGGGCATGACCCATGGCTTGATGGAGCAGGGCGGGGGGCTCCTGAGTGGGGGCTTGACCATGGTAAGGGGCAAGATATTATCAGGCTCATCTAAGCTCATGGACATGGTGTTAGAGGAAACAAAAGTTATTCTGTTTGCTACTACACTTGGCTATTGCTTGTTTCTCATTCTTGTGGCTAAAGGCACAACAAGGACTTAATTTCACCTGAATTAATGAGATTTACTATCTGGGTTGATTTTACTTGAAAAACAATTTAAAGTTGTAAAATGGCCAGTGTTAACCCTGAAATGAAAACGATTTATTGTAATTTTTGAAGGAAAAAGGTGTTTTTCTCTTTTATTATGGCCTTCACATCATAGCATTCAAATGTGAGTGTGAAAGCTGGGACATTGAGAGATTTACTCAAAACAACCTGAACCAAACATAGCATTAATTGTGGATTAGTATGTGATATAATTTAGTATGTTGAACTTCCAGCACATCTCATCAGTAGGACATCTCCATATTCTGTATTTGATGCCAGACAGTGCTAACATTCACCTTATTTACTCTGCTTGCTTATATATTGCACCTTTAAAAGCCATTGTTTTGGGGGGTATAGATGGGAAGTTTCTCTTTACTCAGTGTGTCATCACTACTATAGATTACTGAATAAATTATTTGCTCTTTAAGTTAACTAGTCCAAAATTAAGACTTATCTGATTATTTTTAGTTCAGAATAGGCCTTTGAGTGCAAAGTATTTATTCAGAAACCATCTCAAAAAAATTTACTAATTTCTGTACTTTTTTAAAAAGCTTAATATGTTTTATATGTAGATAAATAATTTGTTGTTGTGTAGAGTTTAGATGATACAATCTGGGTAAGCAGGGAATTTATAAGCTGTCCTGAATTCAGGGGAGAAAGTGGTGTTTTTACATTTTCGTGTTTAATTAGCCCTTCTGCTTCTCTTAGGATTTGGACCATTCTATAGGAACTCAGTATAGTGCCAACCCACCTGTTACAATTGATGTACCAATGACAGACATGACATCTGGCTTGATGGGACACAGCCAATTGACCACCATTGATCAGTCAGAACTGAGTTCTCAACTTGGTTTGAGCTTAGGGGGTGGCACGATCCTGCCACCTGCCCAGTCACCTGAGGATCGGCTTTCAACCACTCCTTCACCTACTAATTCACTTCATGAGGATGGAGTTGAGGATTTCCGGAGGGTGAGGCATTCCCTGCCAAAGTCAATTCTATCATGACATTCTAGGACAATATTCTTGGCCTATAGAGCCTAATCAATAGTTTACTCCTAATTCTTTACTGCTGCCTAATTTTTTACTCCTGCCCTGCCATCTCTTCTGCTCTATTCTGGGTATAGGATTCTATCTATCAGTTTCCAGTTTATACTGCTCCTTCCAGTCCCAATTCTTTTTTTTTTTTTTTGAGTTGGAGTCTCTCACTGTCACCCAGGCTGGAATGCAGTGGCACACTCACGGCCACCATGGCCTCAACCTCCTGGCCTCAGGTGATCCTTCTGCCTCAACCTTCCAAGTAGCTGGAACTACAGACATGCACCACCATGCCCAGCTATTTTTTTGATTTATTGTGGAGATGAGGTCTTGCCAAGTTGCCCAGGCTGGTCTCAAACCCATGGGTTCAGACAACCCTTTCACCTTGACCTCCCAAAGTGCTGGGATTATAGGCATGAGCCACTGCACCTGGCTTCAGTCCCAATTCTTACAGGTCCTCACATACATTACTAATATCTTTTAATTCTATTGCCACTATTTTTTTTAGCATTTCTGCAAGTTCCATACATCATGTGGCTAGATAGTTTCTTACCATATAAAAATCTTTTTTTTTTTTTTTTTTTGAGTTGGAGTCTCACTCTGTTGCCCAGGCTAGAGTGCAGTGGCATGCTCACAGCCACCACAGCCTCGACCTGCTGGTTTCAGGCGATCCTTCTGCGTCAGCCTTCCAAATAGCTGAAACTACAGGTGTGTGCTACCACGCCTGGCTAATTTTTTGATTTATTGTAGAGATGAGGTCTTGCCGTGTTCCCCAGGCTGGTCTCGAACTTGTGGGCTCAGGCAATCCTCTTGCTTTCGCCTCCCAAAGTGCTGGGATTACAGACATGAGCCACTACACTGACTAAAAGTCCTTTTCTTACAGTTTTCCAGACATAATACTTCCTTTCCATCTTGTAACTCTCTTTTTTCCCCTACAGCAACTTCCCAGTCAGAAGACAGTGGTGGTAGAAGCAGGGAAAAAGCAGAAGGCCCCAAAGAAGAGAAAAAAGAAAGATCCTAATGAACCTCAGAAACCTGTTTCAGCATATGCTTTATTCTTTCGTGATACACAAGCTGCCATCAAGGGACAGAATCCTAATGCCACTTTTGGAGAGGTTTCAAAAATCGTGGCCTCTATGTGGGATAGCCTTGGAGAGGAGCAAAAACAGGTAAGCAGATATTGAGGAACTAGCAGATAGTGAATGTTGCAGAATTTTGTAAGGTAATAAAAATCAAGGTTTTCTCTTTTCTTTTTTTTTTTTTTGAGTTGGAGTCTCTGTCGCCCAGACTGGAGTGCAGTGGCCGCTCCCGGCCACCGCAGCCTTGCCTGCTGGGCTCCGGCGATCCTTCCGCCTCGGCCTTCCAAGTAGTGGAAATTACAGGCATGCGCTACCACGCCCAGCTGATTTTTTGATTTATTGTAGAGATGAGGTCTTGCTGCCCAGGCAGGTCTCGAACCCGCGGGCTCAGGCAATCCACTCACCTCAGCCTCCCAAAGGCACGAGATTACAGGCTGAGGTTTTCTCCTTTCTTACATGTCCTTATCAGATGATATTTGAGTTGATAGTGACATCATCCTTTGTCTTATAAGTTGTAGCTACAGACTGAATCCAGAACTCCTGCATCTGACAGCTGGTGCTACTTGTTGACTAGGATGCCTTGGTTCTCCGTCACATGGGCTCTGATCCTCCAAGTAGGCTAGACTGGCTTCTTTACAGTATGGCAGACTTAGAGTAACATTCCAAGAATGTGAAAACAGATGCCTCGAGGTCTCTTAAGTCTTACTGTCACTTCAGCTACATTCTAATGATCTAACAAGTTAGAGCTAGCCAAGATTCACAGGAAGGAGAACTAGGCTTCAGGTCTTGATGGGAGAAGAGACATGCAGCATGGGAGGAATACTTGTGGCCATCTTTGCAAAAATTTACCACATTCCTTGAGAGAGTATACTGGTTAGATACAGTCCCAGGCTAAGCAGACTACTGATCTTACATAGTTTTGGGGTCAGGATTTATTTATTTATTTTGAGTTGGAGTGTCACTCTGTCGCCCAGACTGGCTGCAGCCTCGACCTGCTGGGGCTCCGGCGATCCTTCCGCCTCAGCCTTCCAAGTAGCTGGAACTACAGGTGCACACTACCATGTCCAACTAATTTTTTGATTTATTGTAGAGATGAGGTCTCACAAAGTTGCCCAGGTAGGTCTCGAACCCGCAGGCTCAGGCAATCCACTCACCTCAGCCTCCCAAAGGCACGGGATTACAGGCTGAGCCACCGAGCCCGGCTAGGATTTATTTTTATTATGGAAGTGAGCATGGATGGATGTTCACTTAAATGTAGTTATTTTGGTTAAGACTCTTGTTGATTGACTGACTTTCAGAGACATGCTCAGTGGAGTGTCTGCCATGGATGCTGTTTTGACTATTGGCTTTCAGAATTGTATTCAGTGAAAGTTGTCGATGATTAGATTAACATGAATTGTCATTCGCTGATAATACAGCATTATTAGTCTTTTCTAGGGGTATTGGGAGGTTTTTGTTTGTTTGAGTTAGAATCTCTCTTGCCCAGACAGGAGTGCAGTGGCACGCTCATACCCACCGCATCCTCAACCTACTGGGTTCAGGTGATCCTTCTGCTTCAGCTTTCCAAGTAGCTGGAACTACAGGTGCACACCACCTGATTTTTTTTTTTTTTAATTGTAGAGACGAGATCTCCCCAAGTTGCCCAGGCTGGTCTCAAACCCCTGAGCTCAGGCAGTCCTCTCGCCTTGGCCTCCTAAAGTGGTGAGATTAGTCTTGAGCCACTGGCCCAGCAGGGAGTTTTTAAAAATCTGTCTTTCCTGCAGGTGTATAAAAGGAAAACTGAGGCTGCCAAGAAAGAGTATCTGAAGGCTCTGGCTGCTTATAAAGACAACCAGGAGTGTCAGGTAAGAGGGTTAGAGTAAATGGATGTTTGAGTCAAAGTTTTTTTTAACTGTTTGAGCAGTTTTAAGAACTACATGCCCCCCAAACTCTGTGGAAACTTTTAATACTGCATAGTATTAAAAGCTTAAAAAGTGTCTTAACTCATTTGCAGCTACTGATATGAATTTACATCATTCCAAATTCTGTTCCTAGTTGCCACTTGATGTGAATTTAACTCATCATGGAAGACTTTTGTTTTGGGTTTATAATCCTAATAAAAATACAAATTACAGAATGCTAGTCAGAGTGATATCTGAGGCAAATACTGGTTGTGTCTGTGACTTTTCAGCCATATTGTGAAAAAGGTGACAATTTAAAAAAAGACCATTTCACTTATGCTTAACGACAGAAGTTTGCGGCAACCAGCTTCAGATTTTTTTATTTTCACCAGCTCTCAGTATTAGGAAAGTGAAAAACTTACCGGTTGTATTTCCAGTATTTACTTTAACCACAGTAGTACCCATAGTTACTTCTTTTTTAAATAACCTGTGATGTCTCTTTTCTTAGGATGTAGAATGAATATGTTTTGTGGTAAAGAGTAATTTTCCTAGTGACTTTTTTTTTTAATGTTCTTTTAGGCCACTGTGGAAACAGTGGAACTGGATCCAGTGCCACCATCACAGACTCCTTCTCCACCTCCTGTGGCTACTGTTGACCCTGCATCTCCTGCACCAGCCTCAACAGAGCCCCCTACCCTGTCTTCTTCCATTGTTGTTAACTCCACTCTTTCATCCTATGTAGCAAACCAGGCATCTTCTGGAGCTGGGGGTCAGCCCAATATCACCAAGTTGATTATTACCAAACAGATGTTGCCATCTTCTATCACCATGTCTCAAGGAGGGATGGTTACTGTAATCCCAGCTACAGTGGTGACCTCCCGGGGGCTCCAACTGGGCCAAACCAGTACAGCTAATATCCAGCCCAGTCAACAAGCCCAGATTGTTACTCGGTCGGTGTTGCAGGCAGCAGCAGCAGCTGCTGCTGCTGCTTCTATGCAACTGCCTCCACCACGGCTACAGCCCCCTCCATTACAACAGATGCCTCAGCCCCCAACTCAGCAGCAAGTAACCATTCTGCAGCAGCCTCCTCCACTCCAGGCTATGCAACAGCCTCCACCTCAGAAAGTTCGAATCAATTTACAGCAACAGCCACCTCCTTTGCAAATCAAGAGTGTGCCTCTACCCACTTTGAAAATGCAAACTACTTTAGTTCCACCAGCTGTGGAAAGTAGTCCTGAGCAGCCTATGAACAACAGCCCTGAGGCTCACACAGTGGAGGCAACTTCTCCTGAGACTATCTGTGAGATGATCACAGATGTAGTTCCTGAGGTGAGCCTGTTTTTAAATCTTTCCTCTAGTCCATTGGAAAGGTATAAAAGCACTTTTGGTTGACCTAATGAAAAGTAGTGGTTACTGCTAGCATTTAATGCTTTGCAACCAGTGGTATGAAACATGCAGATAAGAGTTTGCTGCAGGGCCCAAGACCAGCCTCGGCAACCTGGCAAGACTTCATCTCTACAATAAATAAATTAGCCAGGCGTGGTGGTGCACGCCTGTAGTTCCAGCTACGTGAAAGGCGGACATGGAAGGATCACCTGAGCCCAGCAGGTCGAGGCTGCAGTGGCCATAAGCATGCTACTGCACTCCAGCCTGGGTGACAGAGTAAGGTGCCAACTCAAAAAAAAAAAAAAAATGGGCCTCTCATCCCAGACCACTCCTTAACTAAGCACAGGTTCAGCTAGAGAGCATGTAGCCTAAGCATAGTTATTTTTTCAGATGTGTCAACTCAAGAGTCCTAAACTTGGAAAATATCAACCTTTTCATTTCTTCTAGGTCTTATCTGCTTATCCTGGGTATTTTAAATGTGTGTAGAGGCTAGACTCGGTGGCTCACCCTGTAATCCCAGCACTTTGGGAGGCCGAGGTGAGTGGATTGCCTGAGCCCGCGGGTTTTAGATCTGCCTGGGCAACTTGGCGAGACCTCATCTCTATAATAAATCAAAAATTAGCCGGGCGTGGTAGCGCACGCCTGTAGTTCCAGCTACTTGGAAGGTTAAAGCTACCGGAGCCCAGCACGTCGAGGCTGCGGTGGCCGGGAGTGGCCACTGCACTCCAGTCTGGGTGACAGAGTGAGACTCCAACTCAAAAATAAAAATAAAAATAAGCCAGGCTCGGTGGCTCAGCCTGTAATCCCACGCCTTTGGGAGGCTGAGATGAGTGGATTG